GGGAATCAATACAGGAAAATTTTAAATTGACAATTCCAAGGAGGATTACAACAGAAAACCTCTCTCCCACCTAAAACCACTAAATCCTATTTAGACACAGTGGTAATGTTTTGTCAGCCCCGAAACCCATTCCACATCACATCTGAGAGCCAGACTGTGAGTTTATTAGGACAGCAGGTAGGACAGCTAAGTATAAGCCAATACACAGACTTCTGCAGCGCTGGTAAACTAGACTTCTTCATGATAATAATACTTACTCTATATCTCAAGTACTTTATATTTAGTAACGTTTCATCTGAATGTCACTCTGAGGCACCACAAGTGAGGAGCTCCACCAAGGTCCCAGAGCAGAAGGCAGAGCAGGCCTGGGACCCTCGGCCTTCACTGGACTACAGAGATTGTTGGTAATTGCACATTTTTTTCTGAGACTAGGCATGTATCATTAGAGACTTTAATACTTGATAGAATCAAGTGGACCTACCTAAGCCTAGAATTTTCTTTGTGTGAGATTTTTAATATAAACTTGATCTCTTTAACAGATATAGCACCATTCAGATCTTTTTTTCTTCTCATTTCGGTTTTTGGTAAACTGCATCTTTCAAGAAGTTTGTTTTATCTCAGTTTTTAAGTTTATAGGCATGAAGCTGTTAGCCCTACAGACTGCAAACATTGATAAGTCAGTGTATACATCTCGCAAGTCTGCTCTCCCCCCAGCCCCTGCAAACACTCTCTCCACCCTCACTTCATTCAGGAGGAGGCAGAGGCTGAACAAGTTCCTTACTTTGCGACTTTTCATCTACCATCTTTATTATTTTCCTTCTTTGAAGAATACATTTTCAAGGTCCTGCTAAAACAATTCCCTACATCTGTGGAGTTCATATTGGAAAAAAAAAAAAAAGTCAACTCCAGATTTTTTTTTGACTATGAGGATGCACAGTAGATGTCATTAGAGTTGAATGAACCCTGTGGGAAATTGGGTTCAGGATGAGTCTTGCTGAATGGTGACTGCAAGCAGCACCGGGCTCACAGAGCCTGTGTACATTTCTCTGGCAGAGAACTCTGCTGTGAGCACGTCTGGCCACACTAAAGATCCCAGAATGCCACAGGGGAAACCTGCTCTGAAGTCACCAGAACAGAAATATCTGGCCAGAAGATTCAGCTGAAAAGGCTTAATCCATGTATGTCGCTGTTGGCCCAAGAGACACCCTGCTGTTCTAGAGTCCTGACAACACTGTTGCCTAAAATCCGTGGCCTCCACAATGCCGATGGACCAAGGCAGATGATGCAGGCCTGCAACAAATGGAAGGCTCAAAGGCAAGAACTTTAACTACAAGATCAAACTGTTTAAATAGCAAATAAGGGTCTACAATACCATGTTTGTAAGTTTCTGGGGTTTGTGGAAACCAGGAGTACATGAGATCAGACACGACTTTGCAAAAGAGTCTTGTGAAACATTCAGTATCATTTGACATGGATTATGAGCTAGCTTGGACTATGGACTAACATTAAGGTCTGATTTATGTCTATGGCGTAGGACAGACTGTGTGGCTGCCCATCTCTAGTCTTGCTCCGTTAGCAATGGCCTTCACAGGTAAAACACTCT